TGGTGATTATTCTGTATCAGTCCACAAAGCCTGCTTCTTTGCTTTTTTTGCGTGATAACCCGTTGACACACAAATTATTTAAGCAAATCCCATATTGTTAAACAGTTAGATTGGGTCCCATCTTTTTCTGTTATGATTGTGTTTCAGTGAATAAACTTGTATATATATGTGAAAAGTATATATATACTTTTTCACAAATAAAGTATATTTGTGGGACAAATTTATAAATGTGAAATTGTTGGGCCAAAATTATTATAAATTATTATACATTTTACAATATTGCCAAAATGTTTTCCACAAAGATTGTACCAGTTTACATTTCCAAAAGCAGCATATGCTTATTTTCCTAACATTGAAGGAAAATTAGTCATTTCTAAAGATCAAATATGTTCTTTTTAGGTGACAAGCCCCAAGACTTCAAAGGTACTACAAAAATCACCCTCTTCAAGAAGAATGGTAAAAAACCAGATAATTTCTCTTTCCCCCTATTTTCTCCGTACGTAGTCAGTCTCTGGCTACATCCACCATATGTGTGTATAATTTTGGTCACGATCTGTCCTTCAGACTTGCCATTTTCATTATGGCATGTAAAGGAATGGTATAGGGACTCAACTAACTGATGACTCAAACCCTGTGGTTAGGCATCCTGCACACAGTGTGAACACTATCGAGAGTTGTAGGGAAACGCGATTATTATGGTAAAGATTCAATAATGTCAGAGTGTGGAATTTATCTTCCAGCTGGAAGGGAAGGCACATGAGATGATCAAAGGAGTATTTTAGGACTACAGTCTTGGCTGCAATATGCCAGGGTCTCTCCCTCCTTCCCAAGTCCACATCCCTCAATATCCATTCCTTGGCATGCTCTCTTGGTTCTTATTGGAAATATGAGGAAAGTATAATAAGAACTGACGCTATTTAAAAGTATTTTTATTAGTTTCCTATGGTTGCTGTAACAAGATACCACAAACTGGGTGGTTTAAAACAATAGAAATTTGTTCTCCCACAGTTCTGGAGGCCAAAAGTCTGAAATCAAGGTATTGGTAATGTTGGTTCCTTCCAAGAGCTGTGAGAGAAGGATCTGCTGCTTGCCTCTCTCCTGGCTTCTGGTTATGCCAGTGAAACTTGACCTTTCTTAGCTGGGAGCTGCATCTCCAGTCTCTGCGCATGCTCTTCTCTCTTATGTGTCTCAGTGTCTCTTCTCCTCTTGTAAGGACACCAGGCACATTGGATTAAGGGCCCACCCTACTCCAGTTTGGCCTCATCTTAACTAATTACATCTGTAATGTCCCAATTCCCAAATAAGGTCACATTCTGAGGTAGTGGGAGGACTTCAACATGTCTTTTTGGGGTACACAATTCATAACACATTCATTCTAGGGTATGTATTGAGTTAATCCACATAAACCTTCTAAATCAACACCACCATCCTTGGAGAAGGTACATGTTTAAAATGGTTACCTGAATAGTACATCCTCAAACAAATATGAATTTATTGATATATGTATATATATAGAGAGAGAATTCATTTTGAAAAGATGCAAAATTTTCAAGTAAATAATTTTCCATTCGATCATGACAAAACTGAAATTTCTGTTAACCAGACAGCACCACTCTTTGAATATCCCATTTAGATGNTGAGGGTTGCGATCCGTTGCCGGTCACGAAAAAAAGACAAAAAGGAAAAAAAAAAAATGGATCTTAGAGAATGCAGAGTCTTTCCACTAGTGTAATTACTTTCTCTTTGCAAACTTGACCCAAAAATTGCCCATAAAATTAAAGGACTCATAGTTCATCAATCAAACCTTAGATACTTTCATGAAAAGCTTAATAACTTTCTGGGAAAATAATGACCTCAGGAAAAAGAATACTCTGAATTAGTCTGCATTAAATGAATTAACTACAAAACTAGTAACTACAAAGCAATGTAGGGCCAAGTTTCCTAAACAAAGCAAATGATTATTTGTCACATTAGACTTTTAATCATAGAGGTAACTTCATAATTTCTATGAAATTGATGGAAATACAGAGGCCCCAAGCCTACATCTACATCTGGTGTTTTTTTTCCCCCAAAAGGTTATTTTGGATTGTGTTGGAATATTTGAGAGAGCCCTCAGCCTACAATTTATACATTAAGATAATGTCTTATCTCCTCCTAATGCTTTGTACTGAGACACGCTCCTGAGAGTTCCTATTACTCAAGCAAGCTCACTTCAATGTGCATTAGCCATTTTCAATAACATGCTGGACTTGTGTCATTTCTTATGTACAAATTTGTCATAAATATCTAAACACCCATGAGCAGATTGTGCTGAGATAATATGATTCGATCCTTTAAGTACTCCTTCCTCTGTTCCTTTGCTACGTGGTGTGTACACCTGTTACCTGCTCCCTGATTCTGGCACTCATGACCTCCAGTAACCTAGCAGCTTGTCACAGGGGTGTTTTCACTACTATAAAGCTCAGTAACTTTACAGGCAGCTGATTCCTTTCAGTCATGGCATATCAATAGACAGATTTTCCTTCAACTTGGGAACTCCCCAGGGATTCTAGAACATAAAGCTTTCCTCCAGGATCTCCCCACCAAGAGACCATTTTAAGGAGAATACAGACAGACAAAGAAAAGCCTGGATTCTCTGGTGTACACTATAAATTTTCAGCAACCCTGGTTATAGATTTCTAGTTGCGGATGGAATCCCCAAGTATAAATGCCAACCCTCTGGCACCATCTTGTGTCATTATTAAGGAATAAAATACTCAACAATCTCTAAATATCAAACTACAGTCACTTTCCCTAAATGTCCATGAAAGGTCCAGAATAAGTGTCATTGATCAAAAAAACGAGAGCAAATACATATGACTTAAGCACTCTACATATATTAACTCATTTAATCCTCACAGCAGCCCTGTAAGGTAGCTACGATGACTGTAGTCATCCCTCGGTATCTGCAGGGGATTGGTTCTAGGACCTCCCTTGGATACCAAAATCTGTAGATACTCAAATCTCTAGTATAAAATGACATAGTATTTGCATATAAGCTACACAATCCTCCCATATACTTTAAATCATCTCTAGATTATTTATAGTACCTAATACAATGTAAATGCAATGCAAATAGTTGTTATACTGTTCTGTTTAAGGAACAGTGACAAGGAAGAAAATGTCTGTCTATGTTCAGTACAGACACTTTTTTTTTTCAAATGTTTTTGATCCACTGTTGGTTGAATCCATGGATGAAGAGTCTGTGGATATGCAGTGCCAACTGTATTCCCATTTTATAGATAATAAAATAGAAGCCACAGGGGTTAAATAACCTGCCCAAAGCCACACAGTGACTAAGTAGTTGATGCAGGATTCGAATCTGGTTCTAGAATCTATGTTTCTAATAGTTACACTTTGATGCTTCGTTATGTGGGAGCAAGGTTTATTTTCTCTTGAATTGAGCTTCAAACCTTCTCTTTATAGTATAAAAGTTAAGGTAAAGTCTGTGAAAGTACTTCGAAAAGGGAAATGTTATGCAAATCCAGAATTATTTTGAGGCTGTTGTTGGCCACCTGCCTGTACAGTGGCATCCTGGGATGTGATGGGAAGTTGATAGATCGGTGCTCCTGTCCTAGTGAACAAATTTACAT